GGAACAAACTCCTTTCTACAGTCTCTAAGGGAACCAAAGAATTTATTAATTCTTCCTCTTTTCTATCTTCTTTCTACAATCTTCAGGGAACAAAAGAATTTCCCACTTCTTCTTGCTTTCTATCTCATTTCTCTAAATTCTCAAACAAGAATTTCCCTCTTCTCTTCTTCTATCTCGTTCTAGAATTTCTCTCTTCTCTTCTTCTATCTCTATCTCGATGTGGGGGTCTGATTACATCATTGATTTGGAATAGAGTTGGTACTCTTTGCTGGGTTATATGCTTCACATGCAGCTCACTATAGCAGTACTCTTCTATCTCAAGCTTTGGATTGGTGCTCCAAGCAAAACAAATATGTAGTCTACTCAGCTTCAACTACAGCACATTCAAGGCTTTTCTACGTTTTTGGTTTAGAACAGTTAATCATTTGTGGTTCCTATACTCTCTCTGGATCAGTGGAAGGTTTAGCATGTCTTCACTGGAGGAACAGTGATGGCCTGGAGTTGGTACTCTTTTTTTGATATGTGTCAATTTGGCCAACTTTGCTGGGTTATACTTCACATGAGTACTCTTATGTCTCAAGCTTTGGATTGGTGCTCCAAACACAAGAAAAAAAGAAAGAAAAAGAAGAAGCCTACTCTGCTTCGACTATAGCAAAATTCAACGCTTTTTCTGCTTCTTTGGTTTAAGCATTGTTCCAATCTCATGGTTGGATTCTCCACCCATGATCTTGCGGGGGGATGTTAGAGTATGTAGAGCTAGGATTGTGACAAGTGTCACTTAGTCATTGACTGATGTTAGATTAGTTAGTAAGCTGTTGGAATCAGTTAGAGCATTATAAAGCTTAACTCTCTGTATTGTAGAGTAATATGAGAAATAATACAGAAAGGTTCATCTTCTTCTTAATTTTCTCTCTATTTTTCCCTTTCGTTAACACAAACCACAACATGCACCTCGCACACCAACCAAAAAGTGAGGAAAGAAAACTGGAGGATTCGTACCCTAAACCTCCTCCAAACCAAGCTCCGGCACATGTTGGACAATCACTTAATCCTAAAAGCTTAAACTTTTAGGAAATGGTCACAATGTATATCAAGGATATAGAATCGAAAATTCGATTCTAATTGATTTTCCGGCAGTTGAGTCTTACTTCTCCATTATTCCCAGTGAGAGGCTTGATGTTGCCCATCTTGATCATAGAATCTGCAAAGTCTTTTGCAAAAGATTCCGAGTTCCTGCTGTATTTCAGCACCAGCTTATCACTATCTGTACCATTATTTTTATAGAGCTCTTGATCAGAATGGAGGAGACCCTTTTGTTGTAACAAAGCCTTAAAGTAGACATTATCGAATCGCCTTGTAGTTGAATCTAGTGGCCTTGTGTTGTTATCTCCTCCAGTTGTTGGACAATTGTATTTTGCAGAGGCTGCAAACTTGGGGTCTATGTTGGTATCATTGTAAATCCTGGCACGGAAGCTGGTGCACCGAGCAAGTCCAATGGTGTGGGCAGCTGAGAGCACAACCAAGTCTTTCAGGTTAAGTCCATGAGCTTGGAAGTTAGAGAGAAGCTGTGAGAAGCTGAAGAATGGGGGTGGAAGATTTCTGTTTGCATCATTCACGCTTGCATTTCTTGCATCCCTTCTTCCTAATTGCACTTCGTAATCAGGTCCTCCCAACTAAAACACAAACACAAAATTTCATTAATAAAAACATTTCATTCCATGTCGAAAGAAAACGAGTACTGTTAGGATCACCAAATTTGTCCGCCAACTGAATATTAGGTATGAAACTGGAACGTATACTGGGACAATATTTGGTGAACACATTTGATGATCCTAGCAATATTAGCAAACATGTATCTGCAATTTGGTGAACACATTTGGGACAATACTCACAATGGATACAGAATCACGAGCTGCAACAGCTAATATATCTGCACATGAGACCACACTCTTGTAGCAAGCTTTGTCGACAGCTTTTTTGATATCATCGATCACGTTGAATCCCCGGATGGAATTCAGATTTGGGAAGGCGGTCTTCTCACCGATGAAGTTGGCAGTGTCATCAAGCAGAACTGATCCATCGCAACCCTGTATCAATTCAACCATGAACATATATCAGGAAAAAAAATTAGAACTGATAATTTACATGAACAACCATTTCAAGTGCACTATATGCATGCACAATCAATATAAGCTTAATTACATTAACAAAGCAGTCATGGAAATGAAGGCGAAGTAGAGAGGCTCCGATGCGTGGCTCGTGGCTGATGGCCCGTTTGACAACTTTTCTGATAGCTGGCAGTGCCTGAGGGCACACTTTGTTGTAGAAACCAGAACTTAGTTTTGCAGATGTTGGCATCATACTAGTGGCAGCTACCACTACAAAACAGATGATTATGAGGAAAGATCGAAGAGCAGCCATGGCAGAAGGTTTTGATCTTGTCGAATTGGTGAATAGTGATGATGAAGATCAAGGAGTTTGAGTGCTTATATATATAGAAAATTTGCGTTGCCCACTTGTTATTTCCAATTCTAATAGAAAGCTTGTTAAATTGGATGTATAGACCAATTCTAATATAGTAATTTTTGGAGCCTAGTATGATTTAATCATTGCATGGACCTGTTCCACTTAATTTGGAGCGTTAAATCCACTTCTCTGTCTTTTCGTGGGAGCCAAGAGATGTAGAAGCTAAGACAAACATACCACACCTCTTTTAATACTGAACTAATTAGTGAATAATTAAGAGTGATTAACAAATATTTGACCAAAAAAGAGTAGTTAGCACTTGCTGATTTGAAGCGTAATTGTTGTGCAATCACAATAATCAAGGATTAAATGGAGGCGTAACGGAGGCTGAAGGATGTTGGTGTGGAGGTAAACATGGCTTGATAGACAGTACACCAAGCTGATGAGAAGATTAAGGGCAATTAATTTAATTAGAGGACGTGATTAAGTAGAATGATTAATGGCTTTCTGTCACTTATTTTATGAACAGTAGGTAGTGCCATTAAGGTTTCATGCCACTTTTCTTTTTAATTACGTATTTTTGAAGTAGTTTTTCATTTCCTCTTGCAAGTTATAAATGCTGGTTTTTAAGGGTGTGTTTTTGTGTGGCAGGAAATTGGAGGCATTGAGAACTGGATGAAGATCATCCAGTTGTGGAATAATAAGCCTTTTTTATATATATTAAAGTCGCCTTATTGTATTTCACATTCACAACGTGCAAATTTGCTTAACAATAGCCGTACACAAGAGTGAGTGTGAGGGTAGGTATAGCCTTATGTGATTATATGTTATATATTAATTTCCCTAAACGTGACATGAATTTTCATCAATATCATGTCATGTGATTGGGCAAGGATTCTTCAAAATATGCATCAAGTTCGAATGAAAAATAAGTAGACAGGATTGTTATTGGAGTTCGAAGCAGGTGTACGTATATAGGTTACTTAATTGTTGTTGACGATGACATGCCCCAATCCAGATACGAATACGTGACAAGTGTATTATGATCACCTACTTCATTTTATTCAAAGTTGACATTGGAGTAACCTATCTAAGATTCAACAAGAAATTCTGTGTAGCTTAGTTTAAAAGAGGCCACATGAAAAGAAATAGAAGAATAATGTCAATGTACCAGAAACTCAGGATTTGGAAATTGCCTTGGCTGCTTCCAAATTGAATGTCAACTTCATATGAATTAGTAGTTAATTACTAATTAGGATGGATTAACCAATAAAACAAGTTTCTCAAATATCCGTTAAAATCCAGTCATTCTTTATCTTCACCATTTGACTTAAGACTTGGTCTATTAACTAACCTAAGATTCCATTAAAACTTTAATCTTATAGTATATAGGTAATTGGTCACCTAACCATTTACTTGTTTTCTTATTTAGTCTGCAACTTGGATACGATCGTGGAGAGAGAGAAACCATCACCATTCTCAGATTGTGTGTGGATGTGGATCAATTTTGTCGCCTTGTCTTCTTCCCCAAAATTAGACATCAAAAGTTGGTGCAAGCTAAGCAACGTCTATTCTTTTTTAAATCAAACAAAAACAGAGGGGTTTTCCCAATTTCAGAATCAAAGCCTTGCAAGTGACCCGACGGTGAATATAAAAAAACACAGTTTTATAATTTTATATAAATGATGGGTAACCATGATCTATACTAGAAGTCAATTACTTTTGGCTTATTATAATATACTTTTTTTGGTAGCAATTATAATATACTTTTTGCTTTGCCGTTTAATTGCCAATGTCAAAAGACGATCGAGAGACTTGGCCTTTTGTGCTTCTCCTCCATGATCTCTGTCTTCAATATTCACAACATGAATACAAGTGTCATACAAGTTAGCGTGATATTCCCGCGTTTCATTATTTCAAACAAGTACCCCCTCCATAAAAATATAATAAACTTATTATTCAATATGAGAGTGTGCACTATTCTGAATATTAAACCATCTCTATACTAGTTCCATCAATAATGCCAGAGACATTACATTTGCTCGTTAAATGACGATTCGACATTTGATAGTGACAAATAAGGTCACAGTTGACTCAAATTTAAACAAATGAGGCACTTTTTACATCAGGAAGAGAACTTGTTTCGTTAGAATATTGGACTTGGGCAAGCCTGCAAAAGCATAAGAAATAATGGGAAGAACAATGGTGTGGCAGTGGCAAACCGCCCTGCGATACTTAAGTCAGTAGCTAGTGTTGTAGAAATGAACGACAAAGAGTTTGCTGATCCTTTTTGAGATAACTAGCGAAGGGCTCTAATCATTTGAATTAAGGACGCATTTCATGTGGAAAAGAACTTTTGACGGAAAAGTATGCCATGTGTGTTGTATTAATTGTAATCTCAAACAGCTACTAATTAATAATTACTTAATGAACTTTTCCATTTATGTTAATCAGCTTGTTCTTGGATTTTTTTTGAGAGGAAAGATATATTGCATTTATAAATCAAGCACAAAGGCTATTAGCCATAAAGATCAGTAAAAGAATAGATAAAAATACCATTTAGGGTTAATATAAATGGGGAAGCACTGTAACCACGAAGCATATTTATAATCAACAGTTGAATCTGAAACTTTAAATTCCCATGCACCTGCATTTTCTGTATCAATTGTGGAAAAGAACTTGGACAAAAAGATATGCCATGTGTTTTTGGTATTCTAATCTCAAAGAGAATCTGTATTTATTCTTTTAAAATAGTTCAATTTTTTTTTGGGTACATAACGAGATAATGAACATTAAATGATCATGACCACACACTAATTGATTTTCCTGCAGTTCAATCTCACTTCTCCATCATTCCCAGTAAGAGGCTTGATGCTACCCATCTTGATCATGGATGCCGAAAAGTCTCTTGCAAAAGCAAATGGGTTCCTGCTGTATTTCAGCACCAGCTTATCACTATCAGTGCCATTATTTTTATAGAGCTCTTGATCGGAATGGAGGAGACCTCTTTTTTGCAGCAAGGACTTAAAGTAGACGGTATCGAATCTCCTCGTAGTTGCATCCAGTGGCTCTGTGTTGTCATTGCCTCCACTTGATGGGCAGTTTTTTCGGGCAGAGGCTGCAAAGTTGGGGTCTATGTTGGTGTCATTGTAGATCCTGGCTCGGAAGGTGCCGCATCGAGCAAGTCCAATGGTGTGGGCAGCTGAGAGCACAACTAGGTCTGTTAGGTCCAGCCCATGAGCTTGGAAGTTAGAGAGTAGCTGTGAGAAGCTGAAAACTGGAGGTGGAAGGTTTCTATTTGCATCATTCAAGCTTGCAGTTCTTGCATCCCTTCTACCTAACTGTACTTGGTAAAGAGGCCCTGCCAGCTAAAACACAAATAAGCAAAAACAAGAATTTCATTAGGTTTTGATATGGATATATGTGTTCAACGATAAAAGTGATCGTAGGGTCCTTTATTTTAAAGTAAGATACTAAAATGCGCATACTGACACATTATTTGGTGAACATTGTACTTACAAGAAATACAGAATCACGAGCTGCAACTGCCAATATGTCCGCGCATGAGACCACACTGCCTTTGCAAGCTTTGTCTACGGCATTTTTTATGTCATCGATCACATCAAATCCCCTGACTGAATTCGCATTTGGGAAGGCAGTCTTCTCACCGGTGAAGCTAGAAGTGTCATCAAGCAAAATCGATCCATCACAGCCCTGTATTCAAATCAGCCAAATAAATCATCTACATTTTACTGTACATGTATTGCAAGTGCAATGCGTGCATGCAATCAACTAATAGCTTAATTACATTAACAAAGCAGTCATGGAAGTGCAAGCGCAGCAGAGAGGCTCCGATTCTCGGCTCTTGAAAGATGGCCTGCTTGACGACGCTTCTTATGGCTGGTAGAGCCTTAGGGCACACTCTGTTGTAGAAACTAGCACTTAGTTGTGCAGAGGTTGGAATTACAATAGTGGCAGCTACCACTACAATACACACTAGCAAAGATCGAAGACCAGCCATGACAAGGGTTAGTTTCTTTTTTTAGTCAAATTGCTGAGTAGGGGTGATGACGATCAAGGAGCTTGAGGGCTTATATAGAGGAAATTTGAATTTCCCCACTGGTTATTTTCATCAACCAGTAAAATAATAATACATACGGCTAATGTGACCTCATGGACTAATGAAGCTTTTGTTTAATTTTTTTATTTTAATGTATGGACCAATTCCGCAATATGAGTAATTTCTGGTGGGGTGCCTAAAATCCTTTGACCCAAAGGGTTTTTAATTTGTTTCATACAACATATCCCCATGCAAAGATGCCTAAAATTTCCCACACAATATTATATGTGCCTATAGCTATTTCTAACCATTAACACCTATAATGGGTTTTAACCTTGCATTACTCTAGTAGGGGCTTGTATTTTAAGTATTTAAGAGTAGTCTCCTGCATCCGAGATCTGTGTTTGAATTTTTCAAGTCTTATGTTTGAATTCTCCCTCCCCAATATCGCTTGTCTAAAAAAAAGGCAGACGTATGTCATTAGCTAAATGAACCCAATACGTGTGGCTTAATGTATATGATAAAGGCTTGCCGACTCGTGTTGGTCATTTAATATTGATTATAAAAAAAAAAGAGTTGGTCAGTTAATAATAATAATAATAAGGGATGTTGAGGATATGTTTGACCACCGAAAGTCGTATATATCTATTGTTTTTTCACAAATGTCAAACCTTTGCATATAACTCGGGATATGGCTCTCCGAAAACAAAATTAGCTGTTCAACCTTAAATTTCATGAAATTTCAATCTAATAATATTTCTTATAAGACTAGAGTTCTTTTAATTTCATTATTTTTACATATTAAAGCATTGAATTAAGGTCTATCACTTCTTCACCCTACTCTAATGTCACTTGAGCTAAAGTTATTAGGCCTCCAACTCCTTAAGAATCAAACTTTCACATGCTAAACTTAGATGCAAACAAAAGCATACTAGCTAAGAGGATCTCCAAGGTCCCCTCATTTTGCTAAAATTGCACAAAATCATTTTATGTACATGTTACTCCCATCACGCTTCTTATTTTAAGTAAGGGTAATGTTAGGCTTACCACATTTTTATACCACCTCTCTAATAGAGGTTGAGCCCACCTATACAATGGGGCCATCTCTATTAGAGAAGTGATACACAATGTGGTATAAAAATGCGATAAGCCTTGTTGACATATTTCTCTATATTTCATTTCAGCTAATGAGCTCCTTTTAACTATTCCTTCGGAGATGCTCTAATTAAGTAGTTGTTCTATGTACTAAGAAAAAGAAAATTAAGATTAGATTAATGATGAAAATAGATTCAAATGTTTATGGACGATATTAAAACGAATAAACTTTTGGCAAAAAAAAAAAAAAAACCCAAATTCACAAACTCAAAAGCTCTATACAATACATTGAATCAAAATTGAAACAAAGTGCATGCATGTGTGTGTAAGAATTATTATTATTTTTTTCCTTGTTTGCTGCAAGAATTTCTTTTATATTTTCAATAGAGTGGTAGAAAAGGTGTGCTTATAGAATAATACTTTTTTAGGAAAAAAGATAAGGCTAGGTCTTTGTAGGAAATAAGAAATATTAAAATGGACATAAAACAAATGCATGAAGAAGTAAATAGAATATTAGGATAATTGTTAGTTCACATCTAATAACTTACCCGTTCAGAAATAGTAGTCACAGCCCCAAGCATATTTTATACAAAATCAATGGAGGCTGGAAGAGTGTATGAATTCATATTAGTGAATTAATGGACTTAGTAATCTCGTAATTAGTCTATGCATAAGATGATTATTGAATTTGTAATTTGAATTAATCTTCTATGAGATCAGCTACACTAATTTAATATAGGAGTTAGTTATAATGATGGAAGCATAGGAAGCTAATAACAGTGTTTTATCCCCTCTATATATGAACATTTAACCTCTTCAACTTGTTGCAAGCAATTAATCAGAAGCAGTTATCTCAACTAGTACATATCCATGGCAGCAGCTAATTCTCATGAACCTGTCTTGGTTTTGTTCACTACTTTTGTTGTTGCAGCCGCTATTGTGTTGGCCCCAACTACGTGTACTGCTCAACTCACTTGTGATTTCTATCAGCAGTCCTGCCCTCATGCATTGCAAACCATAAGATCAGTTGTCAACGAAGCTATTAATCGGGAGACGCGCATGGGAGCGTCGCTCCTACGCTTGCACTTCCATGACTGCTTTGTCAACGTAGGTTTCATTTTGTGGCTTTGTTCAAAATTTTATTTTATTTTAGTTTGTTGCTATTTCTTGTATACAAACAAAATCATACTTTTCCGCGAGGTAGCAGAATATTGTTGTTGATTATGTTGACGGACTGTGAATATGAATCGTTTATCATATGAATACTTGTTTGCATGAGTGTTACAAAACCAACCAAAGGTTGAGTAACTTTAAAGCGTGCAAGGTTGAGGAATAATATCACTTTTAGAAACTGTACAGTTTTTACCTAACAAGAAAGGAGATAGTTGTTTAACACAGCGTTTTTTGAATTATTACATACGTTCAAAAAACTGTAATGAAGATTTTAATACTGAAACATTGACTATGGTTTCCATCTTGGTGGCAGGGGTGTGATGGATCGATTTTGCTGGACGACACAGATAACTTCACTGGTGAGAAGACGGCCTTTGCGAATCTGAACTCCGTTAGAGGTTTTGATGTGATTGATGAAATTAAAGCAACTCTCAATACATATTGCAATGGCAATGTGGTCTCATGTGCAGATATCTTAGCAGTTGCAGCTCGTGACTCGGTTGAGATTGTAAGTGTTAAAAAAAGCCTTCGATGTCTAAACTGTCTAAAAAGGCTTTTTCTAGCCATTTTATATTTTGCGTATTATGTTGTTAACTAATGACAAATGAGTGTTGCTAAACGAACTCTAAAATTAACTGAGTACATCCTACTACCAAACTATTTATTGAATTACTAATTTACCATAATATAAAATGACAAAAAACAAAATTAAGGTATATTTAGTTAATTTTAAGATTCGTTTAGCTATTTTTTTCCTTGATGTCCTCTGCCTAATGGTTTCCTGGAAGTTAAAGATATAATTAGAAAGACAAGATGATTGTTGTTCAAAATTAATAGGATTATATCCATTCTCAACCAAACCTCAAATCATTAATTGTGGAAATTTGAAAATGGTTTGGTTTTGACAAGTCAAAAGTAGATTTTTTGTTGTCTCCTCTGCTTGATCCACATAGTACTGTAAATTCATACATCAATTTGCTACGTGAGTCCATCAATGGTGAGGCTCTACTGTCAACAACTGAATACAAAATGCGTTTTGGAGTACAAGTTTCCATCTTGGACGAAAAACAACTCAATATTTTACATTGTTACTGCCTTAGCTAAAAGAAATTTGAGATTTTTCGCACAAAATATTGGCCGATTTGAATTTGTTTCTTTAAATTTCAAAGGAGAACTATCAAAAGAAAAAATATGGGTTCTAGGTACTTACTGTTGGCCGTTTCAGATTGTCAAAGACAGAGAGAGTGACGCTATTATTTCAGTGATACTAATTTACCCTAATATAAAATGACTAAAAAGTATTAGAGTGTAGCAGGGGTATTTTTTGTAGTTAATTAGGGTGTACTTAGTTAATTTTACATTTTGATTTAAATATTATGGTGTACTCAGATTATATGGTGTATTAAGTTAATTTTAAGGTTCGTTTAACAGCACTCTAACAAATTAGCCTAATTAAAAATGGATAAATTAGTCCAACTCTTGTGCTGCTTGTGTTTAGCTGGGAGGCCCTTCCTATTCCTATGAAGTACAATTGGGTAGAAGAGATGCAACAACTGCTGTCTTGGATGATGCAAACAGAAATCTTCCTGCTCCAACTTTCGACTTCTCTCAGCTTCTCTCCATCTTTCAATCTCATGGTCTAGGCCTGCAAGATCTGATCCTCCTCTCAGGGGGCCACACCATTGGACTAGCTAGGTGCACCACCTTCAGGGACAGGATTTACAATGACACCAATATAGACCCTGAGTTTGCAGCCTCCTTGAAAGAGGGTTGTCCTGTAAATGGTGGAGACAACAACACGACGCCAATAGACTCAACCACAACGCAGTTTGATACCGTGTACTTCAAGTCTTTGCTGCAGAAAAAAGGTCTCTTCCATTCTGATCAGGAGCTCTTTAAAAGTGATGGCAGTGATAGCGATAATCTGGTGCAGCATTACGCTAACAGCCCCGAGGATTTCAAAGTAGATTTTGGGGCTTCCATGATCAAGATGGGTAACATAAACCCCCTCACTGGATATGCTGGTGAGATAAGGCTCAATTGCAGGAAAATCAACTAGGACTTAAATATGTCCACTCAAAGTAACAGAGTAAAGCAACATTGGAGAGTTGTTATGTCCATTGTGTAAAACATTTAAAACTAGTTTGAATAATTGCTGAACTCTTTTATTAGTATATGTCTATGGTATTTAGTTATTAATCTAATTTTGGAGTGTATTGAGTTAGCCAATGGCATACAAGATATAATGTCAGCCTGCATTTAAACAAAGACTGGCCAAAATAGATGCTCAAAAGTCAGGCGGCCGGCTGTGAGGTGGAAGAGAAGGGGAGAAGAACTGGGTTGTGCTTATATTGCACACTCCACACGATGGAAGAAAAAAAATGGACATAAAACAAATGGATGAAGCAGTAAATGGAATACTAGGATAATTGTTAGCTCACATCCAATAACTTAGGCTTTTAGAAATAGTGCTAAACAAAAACAAATTTGATCATACACAAGAAGTCAAAGCCCCAAACATTTTTATACAAAAATAAAGGAGGTCGGAACGAGTCCACGATTGATGGAGTGTAACATGGTACAAAATCAATTATATTATTTCCGGGTTAGAGAATTAATGGACTTAGTAATCTCTTGACAACTAATGAACATGTTTTGAATTAATCATCTATGACATCAGCTACACTAATATAATAGGATATTATAATTAATGATGGAAACATAGGAAGCTAACAGTGTTCTCTCACCTCTATATATGAACACTCAGCCTCTTCAACTTGTTGCATTCAAATTAGCCAGAGTAGTTAGCTCAACTAACATATATACCATGGCAGCAACTAATTGTCATCAATCTGTCTATGTTTTTGTCACTACTTTTTTTGTTGCAGCTACTATTGTGTTGGTCCCAACTACATGCACTGCGCAACTCACTTCTGATTTCTATAAGCAGTCCTGCCCTCAGGCATTGCAGATCATCAGATCAGTAGTCAAGCAAGCTATTAACCGGGAGGCACGCATGGGAGCGTCGCTTCTACGCTTGCACTTCCATGACTGCTTTGTCAATGTAGGTTTCATTTTGTGGCTGTGTTCAATATCTTCTTTTTTTGTTATTTCTTATATACAAACAGAGCCATACTTTTCCTTATCTGTTGTCGTACTGTGAATATGAAGCATTGATCATATGAATACTTATTTGAATGAGTGTTACAAAACCAAACACTTTTAGAGTGTGTGTGGTCGAGTTTCACCTCTGTATGGACAAGGAAAAAAGATCACTTGAGATTTGGAAACTGTACAGTTTTTACCTAACAAAAAAGGAGATAGTTGTTTGATATTAATCATCTTGGATTATTTGTATTAATACTTATGTTTAAAAAATCGTGAAGATTTTTAATACTAAGACATATTGATTAGTTTGAATTTTTCCATCTTGGTGACAGGGGTGTGATGGATCAATTTTGCTTGACGATACGGATAGCTTCACTGGTGAGAAGACGGCTGGTCCAAATCTGAACTCGGTTAGAGGTTTTGATGTGGTTGATGACATTAAAGCAGCCCTCAATAGGGATTGCCATGGCAATGTGGTCTCATGTGCAGACATCTTAGCAGTTGCAGCTCGTGACTCGGTTGAGATTGTAAGTGTTAAAAAAAAAGTCTTCAATGTCTAAATTGTCTAAAAGGTTTTTTAGCCATTTTATGTTTGACATGTTATGTTGTCGGACTCTCAATTTGAACCGCGCATTTAACTAATAATACACTTGATCAATCATCCAATTTCATAGCCTGGCACCATAATAACAAATTAGCCTAGTTAAAAGTTTGATAAATTAATCCAACTCTTGTGCTTGTGTTTAGTTGGGAGGTCCTTCCTGTTCCTATGAAGTACTATTGGGTAGAAGAGATGCAACAACTGCAGTCTTGAATGACGCAAACAGAAATCTTCCTGCTCCATTTTTCGCCTTCTCTCAGCTTCTCTCCAGCTTTCAGTCTCATGGTCTAGACCTGCGAGATCTGATCCTCCTCTCAGGGGGGCACACCATTGGACTAGCTAGGTGCACCACCTTCAGAGCCAGGATTTACAATGACACCAATATAGACCCTGCGTTTGCAGCCTCCTTGCAAAAGGGTTGTCCTGCAAATGGTGGAGACAACAACACGGCGCCAATAGACTCAACTACGGCGCATTTTGATACCGTGTACTTCAAGTCTTTGCTGCAGAAAAAAGGTCTCTTCCATTCTGATCAGGAGCTCTTTAAAAGTGATGGCAGTGACAGCGATAATCTGGTGCAGCATTACGCTAATAGCCCCCAGGATTTCAAAGTAGATTTTGGGGCTTCCATGATCAAGATGGGTAACATAAAGCCTCTCACTCGATCTGATGGTGAGATAAGGCTCAATTGCAGGAAAATCAACTAAGGCTTAATATGCCTCTACCCGAAAACGGAGTGAAGCAACATTGGAGAGTTGTTATATCCACTGTGTTGAACATTCAAAAAATCTAGTTTGAATAATTGCTGAACTCTTTTATTAATATATGTCTATCGTATTTAGTTATTGATCCTAATTTTGGTGTGTATTTAATTAGCAAATTGCAATCTTTGTTAGCCTGCATTTGAACAAACAAACAAAGACTGGGCAAAATAGTTGCTCAAACTCTGAAAAAGCTATGCAGTTCTAGTTTTGGTCTTGAAGGCTGATAACATAACCCAGAAAAGAAAAGGATGATAAACTTGAAGGCTAGACAGCCTTTAAAATTTTCAAATGAACTGTTCTAGCCATACCAATCAATCTGATTCAACAATTAATTCCATATTATAGATGTTCAACCATTAATTACATATTATAGATGATTTTCAAAGCCATTAATTACAGATCAGAATTGGAGATTACTAAATGCTTTTTGGAAAATAAAATATTCATACATTACATAACAAGGATTTGAGTTTGACTTTTTAATTTAAATCTTTACTTAAAAAAATCTTTTTCGGCCGGTTTTTTTTTTCTTTTGTCATTTGGTTATTAGAACAATTAGAACAGAGGCTTTGACCTACATAAAAAAAAATCTGTACTTGATAGGTGTTTTTTCTTGTGACATATGTAATATGGATCCAACACCAACTTATGGGCATAAAGATTATAGATCCAGTTATTTTGTCATTCTAAACACATAATTCTCTACTCTTAAATTCCCATAAAGTCAGTCTACTATCTTATTTAGTTTTTTTTTTTTTTTTTTTTTTTTTTTTTTTTTTTTTTTTTTTTTTTTTTTTTTTTTTTTTTTTTTTTTTTTTTTTTTTTTTTTTTTTTTTTTTTTTTTTTTTTTTTTTTTTTTTTTTTTTTTTTTTTTTTTTTTTTTCTGAATTGTTTTCTTCGTAAATAATAAATAGAACTGCAGAGATGTATTATGCAGGCACAATAATCAAATTACTGGTGGAAGCAAAAAACATCTAAGAAAGCAACAAATGCAATGTGTTTTGAATCCATTTTTTGCAATCTTAGGCACTTATCCAAGCAAAGATTTTTCAACAGTGATAGTGAACATCTGCCATTTTGGTCTAAGACTCAATTGCAGGATAGTAAGGCTGTGTTTGGTGAGCATAAAAAAAAAGGGTGTCTAGCCTTCAAGGTTATCATCCTTTTCAAATGAACTGTTCGAGATTTTGGGGATATAAGACTCAATTGCAGGACAGTAAGGCTGTGTTTGGTGAGCATAAAAAAAAAGCTGTCGTATGATTTGTTTCAACCTTTTTTGCAATTCAGTTGTTCTCTGATTTTAAACAAAAAATTTATTTGTGCACAAGGCCACATAATTCTAAACAAGGTAGCAATGTCTTTGTGCAAAATACTTGTATGAATAGCCGAGGTCAATAGTTTATGCTGTCTTCTGACTTACAGATATGAATTTGTAGTTCAGATCAGCTATCTTATTAAATAGTAGTTGTAATTCTACATTTCTGTTTTGAGATTGGCATACAACATAATTATATTTCACACCGGTTCTAATCAAGGCAAGAACTAGGAAAAATTAAAATAAAGAGTTACATCATCTCATATATCACTTGATTTGTACTGAACTAGATCACTTTCAACGCCTTGGATCAATTTGTTTTGCGACAGTTGGTACGAATTTGACCGCTGGTTCCTGTAAGCGGGCTAAGGTTCCCCATTTTCACCATGGCATTGGCAAAATCTGCATAAAAAGTTCCAGAGCTGGTGCTATAAGTGGTAACCAGAGAGTCTGTTGAACCACCACTGAGAAGTTGCTGATCAGAATGCAAGAGACCCTTGCCATCCACCAAGTTCTTGAAATAAGCGTTATCGAAGAAAACCGGGCTTGTAATATCTAGTGGAGAAAGGTTGTCATCAGTCCCAGAGCTCTGAGTACAGTTTGATTTCAAGAAGGTAGCAAATTCTGAATTGATGTTAGTCTCATTATATATTCGGTTTCGGAACATTTGACACCTGGCTTGACCCATTGTGTGAGATCCTAGTCATAAACATGAATGATTTTCATTAGAGGAGACAGATTATGCAAGTAAGTGAATCAAATATAATTTCTTGGACGTCAAGTAATTGAAATTTCAAGAAGTACCCAAATACTTTGTTGCTTTTTACGTTATGTACTTACCAGAGAGAGCCACCAATTCTTTTTCACTAAATCCTTTAGTTGAGAAAGAAGAGATGAGGTCTTTAAGATCTAGGCTTGGAGATGGGAGTTCAGTATTTGCATCACTTAAACTTGCTGTGGTTGAGTCTCTTCTGCCCAACTGAACTGTCCATGAAGGGCCACCAAACTGCATAAACATAAATTAACATCATCTAACTATATAGCAATTACTTATTCCTTTCAACTTTCATGACTTCTACTCTTTCTTTTAGGCATAAAATGTGACTTACTGAAAGAACTGAATCGCGGGCTGCAATGGCAAGGATATCTGCACACGAAACAACACCGGGGCAGATACTTTCTAGCTGAGATTTTATAGTATCTATCACTTCGAATCCCCTCAATGATCTTACATTTGGTAAAGCTGTCTTTTCCCCAGTGAAATTTGAAGTGTCGTCTAATAATACAGATGCATCACATCCCTGTTGAAAACCATACGAAAAATTCATCAATACTAATAATGACCAAGAAGGATTTTGTTTGTGATTTATGTTATTGAACTTAAAGAACACAATAAATTAATCCTTTTGTAATTGTTCTTATGCATGCAGGCAAAGCTTCCTAGTTTCTTTCTACAACAAGTATATTTATTACATGAAGTTGCAGCCAAATATGTATAAATAATAACTAGAAAGAACGAAGTTGTGTATGCTGCTTTCTCTTGTTGACTCATACTGCCATGAAGGCACCAAGAAGAGTGCTCTCTCTGGTCATTTCAGCTAGTTCTGGACAACATTTCACACAATTCCTAACATATATGAAGTTAAAACAAAGTGACAAGTACTAGAAGGAGGGAGGGTGGGAAAGGACATGCATTAACAAAGCAATCATGGAAATGGAGACGAAGCAAGGACGCCCCCATCCGATGCTGCTTCACCACCGCATTAAGAACTGCACTCCGAACAACAGAAAGGGCTCGGGGGCACGTTGTTGCATAATAATCTGAGGACAATTGAGCAGATGCTATCCTAAGCAGCATCAAAAGCACAAAGAAGCAGAATCTGTTATAGTGTGAGATAAAAGCCATAATGCCAAAAAATAGAAGGCAGTAAACTTCTTTCACTTTTTTCTCCCTCCGGCAGAATGGAGCTTAAAACATGTATAAATAGAGGATTGCTTTAGTGGATTTTTAACTGTTTGCCAATTTACTATTAATGGTTCCAAGTCAATACTAAAACTTTATCCAAACCTACCAAAATTGTCTAACTATTAAAAATCAAACATTGAAATTTCAACAGTTTTATTATTCTTTAGTATCTAAAGTACTCTTCAACCCAAACTCCACTTCATAAATAAAAAAAAGTGGCTGGCCTATCATTGTAATGCAGAGGATGTCTCGCTGAATTTTACTGTGTTACTGTTTGCTACACAGCGTTAAGGGGAGAAAGAGGGAGAACCAAACACAATGGTGATTTGACCATCAGACTATGTTAGATGTTACATGTGTGAACATGTTTTTCATGGAGGAATCAAATTTAGTCAAACCAACAAAAGGTTGATGCAACTTGCATATGTTATTTTACTACCACCTTTGCATGAACCTGGCTGAAATTGGAAAAAAATGTTTTTGCAATTGCCCCAAACTTTAGAATCTTCCAACGTCTGTAGAACATAAATTCCATAAAGAGCTTTAGAAAGGTAAGCAAAGTCTAAATGCCCCAAACTTGTTATACGAATTTAGTGGGTATCTGGAGGATTAAATTCAAAGCTTTCGTTTTGTCCTTTGAAAATGGCTATTTCATGTTTGACAATTCCATATAAGCTAAAGTAAAATCATGAAAGGAAATGCGATAATATGGACTCAGTGGACCTAATACCACATCTAATATAATTGCCACCTTCTAGTACCCTTTTTTTCTTTGGCCATGATTTTCTTCAAAATCCAACAAGTTATTTTTTTCACAATGCGATATTCTAACTACTGTAATCTACGAGGAGGATTCAAACTCGAGTGAAAGAGGGTGTGCACATTAACCTAACTAATCGACCAAACTCAAATCTATCTCAAAGTCAAACCCCCGAGTTGATAGGATCGTCAATGTCAGAAGATTACTTCCCCAGCAAGTAGAACTCAGGTGACAGTAAAAATTCCAAGATTTTCATGTCTGGTTGGTCCGCATTTTTGCTGCGAATTATTGACAAAAGGGTTATGTAAGAGTATTGAAGACGCTAATTAGCTTAATTTGCTGAGATTGATTGACTGGACATCCCACAGTTCTGCAGCAACTGACGCGATCAGAGTGATGAAACATGGCCTTAGCATGCAATGTTTTGTGTCAAGCCAGTGCAGAGTAACTATTAAATTCCAAAACAGAAGTGCGCTTCCCTGATACATAAAACATTTACACAGTAGATAACTTTCTTGTATAACAAAACTAAATACAACAAATCTTATTTTGCAGCTACCCAGAATTTCATAATTTCATGTTGGATTGTGACAACTTGTCTATAATCACATTATAAATTCTCTCTCATTTGCTCTCTATCATGGAAACAAGATGGTGACCAAAAATGAGCCAATCAGGCAGGCCTATTCCCCATTGCGCCTTCTCAGAATACAAAGTTTTCCTCCTCTGCGCCAATAGGTTGTAATCTATCTCCCATCTCCCGGAGAGAAGCTGCCGTAGAATCATTAATGTCCAGCAGATACTGCAAGCGCGATAATTTCTCTGGTGCTGGGTCACTTTTCAGGTATATAGCAAACAGATCGGCTAGCTCCTCTGGCACATCCCATGAAAGTGGCTTGGCAGGTACAGCTTTGTCACAAGCCAGCAAGTCATTAAGAGAAGAAACCTGCAAACAGAAGCAAGGCATCAGATTTTTATGTGCAAATCAGTCAAATCTTACCAGCCCATTTCCAAAGTATCCACCAACCAAAATTAGCACTCAACCCTTGCAGGACTAAAATAATAAC